ACCCAGCTCTCACTCTGATGGAGGAGAGACTGTAGCTGAGCCGCGACAGCACGACGGAGGAGGTGGACGCTACGAAGTACCGACGTCTTGTGTGGATCCTTCGTTACCTCACCCACATACGGCCAGACTTGGCATTCTCCGTCGGCTATGTTAGTCAGTTCATGCAACGACCGACAACGAAGCACCAGCAGGCTATGAAAAGGATCATCTGCTACGTTGTGGGGACTCTCGACCACAGTCTCTACTACCCGAAATGTCCTGGAAAGGCACACTTCGTCGGGTACAGCGACAATGACCACGCCGGCGATATCGACACTAGCAAGAGCACGAATAGGATGCTCTTTTTCCTCAGCGAGTGCCTCGTTAGTTGGCAGTCAGTCAAGCAGCAGGTGGTGGCCTTGTCCAGCTGCGAAGCCGAGTACATAGAGGCCTCCACCGCTTCAACCTAGGTGCTCTAGCTTGCTTGACTGCTTGGTGATCTCCTTGGCAGAGAGACTAGAGCGGTGGAGCTCAGGGTGGACAGCAAGTCTGCTCTGGCCCTGGCAAGGAACCCCGTTTTTCACGAACGGAGCAAGCACATCTGGGTGAGGTACCACTTCATCCGAGGCTGCTTGGAGGAAGGGAGCATCAAGGCGAGCTACATCAACACCAAAGACCAGCTTGCGGACCTGCGCACCAAGCCCCTTGGGAGGATCAAGTTCCTCGAGCTTTGCTCCAGGATTAGGATGGCCCAACTTTCCTACAAGACGATGCATAAGACTTAGGGGGAGAATGGTAGAATAAGTCTTGTGCGGTTGGTCTTCTTGTGCTGATTGGTCTTTGTGTTCTTTTGGTTTTTAGCTTTTAGGATAGGACTAGCATATTTCAGTTTGGGATGCTTGTAGGACAATATCTCCTTTCAGTTTAGGATGTTTTTAGGATAGCATCTCCTTTCAGTTTTAGGATGCCTAGGACAACATCTCCTTTTTCACCTTTTAACTAGCAAGAAATATGTATCATATCCCCTTGGGATAGTATAGCATTCGTGAAAAAATAAACAGAAAATTGCTCCAGCTCTTCCAGTGCCATCCTCTCGATGAGAGTTCTCTTCCAGCGCCATCCTCTCGATGAGAGTAAGGATTCTGCTACTAACATGCATGAACATTGGTCTGCCCCATGTCACCAGTACTGGTTTCCTTACTTTTTCCCTTGGTCAATTTTATCCTTGATGTTTTTCCTACCATTTTTTGTATCGTTTTGCCTTCTCTTTTTTCTCCGTTGTGCTTGCTGTTGCAAGTACATGATTGTCCTGTCTAGATTGCAAGATACAACGTAAAATGAAAGCCGCATATTTCCCCAAGGTTTTCAGGATTTGATGGAGATTATCTAAAACTGCAGAGCGGATCAACGGATGTTTTAAAGCAAAGTAAGCAATCAACAACTTCTGAAACTTCTTTACTGTTAAATATTATATCCCAACAATCAGCGTCCCATGAGAGAATCGCCCTGATGCTTAAAGAAGGCTGGGAACATCCCATCACACTTAAACATTGGTAGAATATTCTTCGAGACCACTACAAGATCCTTCAACAAAATCTTGACGCTGCATTTTGGATAAAATGGCCTTATTATTTCAACAATATAATTTTTAGAACATACCGTAACATGTACGCTAGTATATGATGAAATGGGATAAATCTTCTTTGCAGTACTGCCCTCCGACTTGGTCAAACAGTAGTGTAGTGTGTAGAGGATTTGTTTATGATGGAACCATCTTATACTAAAAAAATTAGGATGAGCCTTAACCAATCTCACCTCATCTCCAAATCACAGCCAATTGATATTGCCTAAACGAAGAAAACGATTAAACCCGATAACCTTACGAGCGAAACATTTTGACTTTATCATATATATCTATCTACCTATTATATTATTAAAACAACTTTGAAAGGAGACACCACGTTCGCTGCGGGAACTATAAATTCTCACATTAATCAGAAAAAAGAAAAAATATTAACCGTTAGATCCTAATAAGTCTAGATTTTAATGGTTGAGATTCAATATGAGTCCGTACAAAAGTTCTGAAAAATTGCAGTCCGTTTAGCTAAAGCACAAGGAAAAAGTTGCAGTCCTTCAACCATCGGTGCATTACAGCTGGACTATGCATCAGATATGGATTGAAGTATGTATGGCATCAACAACACCATGAATGAGATCCTATTTGCAAACTGACACAAATCAAAATCAGAATAGCACCATGGGAGACACCAATAAATACTACCCACATATGATTCTGTCACTCGGTTGGTGACTAATAATAATTCAATTCGGAATACAATATTCAAAATAAAAATAAGGCCAGCTGAAAAAAAAATACACCATGTAGAATATAACACGAGGTTAATTAAAACTTAGAATAAAAATAAAATAAATTCTAAAATTAAATTTCAATACTAATTCCAAAGAAACTTAAAAAATCATTAAAATACGAAATAAAATTATAATAAAAACTCAATCTAGATGCTATAAATTCCCATACTCATCGGAGAAAAAAATAAAAAGAATTCATGTAGGTATACAATTATCAATAATTAAAATCCAAAATAAAATAATAATAATAATAATTTGAAAGAAGAGACCATCTAGAATATAAACGATGTTACTTAAAATTTAGAATAAAAAATAAAGTAAATTCCAAAGTTATTTCTCAATATGATTTTCAGATAAACTTAAAAATATCATTAAAATTTGAAACAAAAATAGACTATAAAATTAAATAAGTAAAAACCACATGCAAGAAGAGTCCATAGAAAAATACAGCCTATAAATATCCAAAAGTAAGAGTAATTAAAATTCAGAAAAAAATATAATAAATTCCTAAATTAATTTTCAATACTAAATCGGTATAAACTTTAAAAATATCATGAAAAATCGGATAAAGTAGGAATATAATTTCGAAGTAACCAAAGTTGGCAATACAATGTTGTTGCAATATGATATATGTGCCCTAAATGAAACCACCAAATTTTATTTTGGATATCTAGAAAATACCACATTTACTTATCGTACCATTCAAGCCTTTTTTCATGCTTTTCCCGAAGGTCTGGAGAAAGTAGTAATCAATAGGACTTCCCTTATCCTCCCTTCCTAAAAGGAAGAACTTGAAATTCTTTTTTCCTTTCCGCAGGGACCGGGAGGTTGGATCTATCCATAAGAGGAATGCTTGGTATAAATAAGACACTTCTTGGTCTTTGACCCCCCTAAGTCACTACGAGCGCCCTAGATGAGTGCAATGGGATGTGGCTATTTATCTATCTCTTGAGTCAAAATGGAAGCAGGGCAGGATTAAAAAGGATCTTAGAGTGTCTAGGGTTGGGCCAGGAGGGTCTCTTAACGCCTGGTAACTTTAAAAATATCATGAAAAGTCGGATAAAGTAGGAATATAATCTCGAAGTAACCAAAGTTGGAAATACAATGTTGTTGCAATATGATATATGGGTCCTAAATGAAACCACCAATTTTTATTTTGGATATATAGAAAATACCACATTTATTGAAGGAAAAAAATGAAAAGGCTACACCATCTGACTGTAGATTAAGAAAAGAAAACAAATGAAGAATTATAGAAGAACTTCTAGATGTATATATGTTCAATTTTTATTACAAAATAAAAAAATATAGGATTGACATTTAAAAAGGGCATCTCGACTTTAGAAACGTTTTCTGTAAGGCTGCTGGATGGCAAGCTGCTCAAGTGACCAATAATGAGAGCTACGAGAGCCAGAGAGCTACGAGTAAGGCAAGGGATACGGTGGTGGCAATAGTTGTGGGACTTCTAACGTAATCACATCGACGATAAGTTCCAATCTTCTTTGGCGCCGACGACAAGGAAGAAGAGAGATTGCATGTGCTAACGAGTGGATAGGCGATAAAGGGACAGTGAGGTGGTTATTGCTATGGGAGAGCGAGCCGAGAGGCAACAAATAAGTAAAATGGTAGTGGTGGCATCTAAAAAGAATAAAAATGAGCCCGATGATGATAAAATTCAATGTTATAAAGTGTTGATGACAACAAAGTTGACGGGGCAAAATGGCGGGCCACAATGGAACAAGGAAACAACGGTTGTTGTGGGAGAGCGAACCAAGGGGTGACAGATGACAATAAAGAAGGGGGCAACAGGCAGGCCGTAAAGAAGTAGGGTGGCAGCAGCTGATAAGACATCTAAAAAGTATAAAATAGAAACTCAAAGATAGATATGTTTGATTTTTAGAATCCCAATAATAATAAAGAGTTGGGGCAGCGGACATACCATAAAGTAGTAGGGTCGCAGCGATTGATAGGAATTCTAGAAAGTGAAAAAGAGCACAACAATAGTCAAGTTCGATTTTTAAAATCCTAATGACAATAAAGAGTAGAGACGACAACGGATAGGTTGGAAAGGAGGGTGGCGGCATTTCACGGAACTTCTAAAACTTATTAAAATGGAATCCGGCGAGACAACAAAATCTAAAAAGAATAAGATCCAATTTTTAAAGGCATCAAGGATGATGAATAGAAATTATGACGGGTCGAGCAAGTAAGTAAAAGCGTGGCAAATGACTAAAGAGGGTGACAGTTGGTATGACTTTTAAAAACTATAAAATTGAAAACATGAGAATAATAAGGTTTAATTTTAATTTTAAGAATCCCAATGTCGATAAAGAGTAAGTGTGGTGGGTAGGTCATAAAGGTATAGGTTCATAGTGGTTGACTAGACTACTATGATAATAAAGAGGGGAGGGGCAATAAGCGGACAGTAAAGGAGCATGGTGACGACATTTAATTGGACTTTTAAAAATTATAAATACAAAACCTGGCAAGACAACAAAAACTCGTTGATTATGGGGTTCAACTTTTATAAAGTCCTCAGACAATGATATTATTATTTAATAGTTCTTAAAGAAAATTATGTGTAAAAAGATTAAAAAATTTTATCTAGATACTAGCCGCGTAATTGCGCGGGCCACCCTCCTGCTAGTTCCTTTAACAAGAAACAACCATTCTCCCTTTCTTTCTTCCCTCACTTTGGCGAAATATTTCTAACTTTATGGAGTACCATATTCCTTTCCTTCTTACAGTTCATACTAGTCTCTTCTTCCCTGCTACCAATCTACCTATTCCGCTTTGGCACTTTGCCAAAATTACTATTCTCCACGCACGCATGCATGCAGCTCGATAGCTCATCACTAGCCAAGCAAGCTTGCCAGCTGCCAGCAGCAGCTGAGAGTCAATGGCGACATCTCGCCGGCTTACAGGCTACAGCCTGACCGGCAGGCCGTAGTTGTGGAAGGCCCTGATGGCGCCGCCGCGGCTGCCGGTCACCACCACCATGTTCCACGCCGCCGGAACCTGGGACCGGCAGTCGTCCATCCCGGCGCAGTTCACGTACCTCAGCGACGGCAGCAGCCTCTCCTCCGGCCACGTCGTAGCCGCCGCCGCCGCCGCCCCGTCGGGCACGACGAACCACGTGCCGAACGAGCACCGCTCCCGGTCGTAGCACAGCGTCGGCGCGTCCGCTCCGCCGCCGCCGCCGCCCATCGCCCTCGCCCACGGCGCCACCGCCGTGACGCCCTCGGAGAAGAAGAGCTCGCGCGAGCTCACCACCCTCCGCCGCCTGCCGCCGCCGTCGAAGTTCCAGATGCGGATCTTGGAGTCCCTCCCCGCCGATATCAGGTACCTGCCGTCGGGCGTCAGCGACGGAGGCACCAACACCTTGGACCTCCATTGTCCTGGAAATATAATAAATGCTTGATTTTTTGAATATTCCAAAACATGATGACATATACTCTCCCTGTTCTAGATTATAAGTCACTTTGATTTTGCTCAAGGTTAAACTGCCCCAAGTTTGATTAAGTTTGTAGAAAAAATAGTAATACTTTCAACCAAACGTAAAAATATATTATGAAAATATATTCAATTATAGATTTAGTGAAACTAATTTGGTGTTGTAAATATTATTATTATATTTGTCTCTAAACTAGGACAAACTTAAAGTAATTTGACTTTGACCAAAATCAAAACGACTTATAATCTGAAACTCAAACGGATGGAGTACTATGGCCCTGTTTGGGGGAGCTTCTCCCAGCTGCTTCTGCTATAAGCTGCCCTAAACAGTCCACAGCTTCTGAGAATTTGTAGTTACAGATTCTAAAAAATGAACTAAGAAGCCAGAAGCTGGAGAAGCTGGGTTTCAGAGCTTTTCCAGATTCTCATAAGCTGGCTACCAAACAGCTGCTTCTCAAAATTTAAAGCTCCCTCAAACAGGGCCTATATATATCAAGTGAAAACCGCTTATGAAATTTTGAGGAGATTTGTTTTCATACAATAGAATGGTGAAAGAGACTGAAATGAAGTCTTTTATACCTTGAAACTTTTGGGTGATCTTATGACCTTCAGAGACTCGGATTTTGTGATCTTTCGATGTGATTATCATCCTAGATGGATGGCCCTGAGAGAACTGCATGAGAGATGACAATAATAATCAATTGGCCGGTATTCGTGTAGCAGGCTAAAATCATAAACTATATATATATGCATGGGATGAAAAAAAAATTTAAGCAACTAACCTGAATATTGGTAATCTTGTTGGCAGCACACCGTCTCCGCTTTATGCGCATCAGTTTGTTCCTTTCAATGTTTCGACCTAATGGGAAAAGACCTATTGGGAAAGAAAAATAATAATGTACAATGCTTAGTTAATAACAACATTATTCCCTCCTTGTCCTTAAAATGAGAAATATCTGAAGGATCAGAAAAATAAAAATAAAATGCAGTCATATATACCAGATTGATCATAGAAGCGGCATCTCCCTTTGACAGAACCGACAACGAAACCCTGACAAGGGTAAAATGCAAGAATCAGCAGCTAGTTACTGGGAAATAAAATTCAATGACATTTTGATAATCAATTTTTGAAAAAAATAGCATTTTGATAAAGCATGAACCTTTCCATCTGGTCGGTGACTTATAGCTGTTATGATGTATTTTGTGTCATCCCAATCAACTACTCGCTTGTCTGAAACATCCCAAACACGAACTTTGCCATCTATTGAGCCACTGATGAAGTACCTTTCATCAACTGGATTGAATTGAACACATGTAACTGTTGACAAGAAAAGAATATCAGGTCAACATCATTAAGTTGAATCTACTACATAAGGAAAGAAAAATTAGGAAAAAATATTTTGTGGGCAATTAACTTTTTTAGGAAAAGGAATATATTTATTCCGGCCTCTTCATAAGCCATGGACTAAACCATTCATTATTACAAAGAAGTATTTCCAGTTTAAAATAAAGAATGCTAGCAAAATAACACGTTCCCAGAATTTGAGCTTTGAATAAAAACGCTTAAGCACAAAGCCTGTTTGATATTTCCATCACCATAGTTAACTGCTATGGGATGTTTGCACATACCATAATCTCCATGTCTGAATACTGCAAGGCAGTCATAACAGCCAACTTTCCACATGCGTATTGTCGTGTCTTTCGATGAACTCAAGAGAAACTGCAGGAGGTATATACTACTAGATCAGTTCATACCAAATTTAACATTACACTTCTCACAAAAAAAATACACTTCAATCATTTAAATATCCAAACTACATGAGACAGAAGACTTACATCTGACTTTGACCATGCCAAATCCAGGACATCACTTGTATGGCCTTGAAACTCATGCAGAGGTGTCTCTGTGATACTGAAAACCTTCTTTGGTATGATCGCGAGGGGCTTAATTTTCACGTCCTTCTTCTTGTTCATGTCTTCAGGAACATCTCTGCCGTACAAATCAGGCGAAGATTCAACCTCTGTGATCTGCCAAACGCGCACGACGCAATCCTCGCCGCCACTGGCTAGATGCCACCCGGATGAACTGAACTTCATCACCCTGATCAATCCCTCGTGTGCCTGGATCTCCTGGCACATGTAGACGGCAGTGAAGTCCATCCACTTCTTGTTCTGCTGATGAACTTTTGTCCTGTACAATGTGCCTGAGTTCAATCCTCTTGGTTGGACATGTACATCATCCATGGAAAGTACTCTATCTGAAACCTTCTTCCTCATGAAGATTTCCCACAAGCTCTTGAATTCGTTTCTCTTAGGGCCGTGACCGAAGCGAATGCGCAGTAGTTTTCGCATTAGTTTAGAGAATCCAGGCACAATCTCAGGCGCATTTGGAGTCACCATTTCATCAGATGATGTTCCAGCCTCCTCAACAATCTCCGAGAGGACATCGTGCTGGCCTTGATCATGAGATGTTGTGCTTCTCCTTCCACTACTGTTATAATCCACATCCCTTGTGCAGTTATCAGCACTATCATTAGTATTGTCTGTTGCTGCCAAAATACTGTCAGAGAAGCAAGAACGGAAGGAAGAGCAGATGCTACTGATCCTCTCCTCGAAATCGTGAAATGAGCAGCAATCCGTTGTTGCGATTTCTGCCAGCCACTGGGGGAAGGCCGTCCCGGTAGGACCGGGCTCAAGAAACCCCATTCCTTTCAGGAATCTGTGTCTCCTTTCTCTGACACTCATCGGCTCACCTGCCCACAGCTCGTACCCAGCTTCACTTGTACTAATCTCCGTTGAGCTTCTGTTCTTATCGTCGTCGTCGTCGTCGTCATCGTCAAACGCGTCGAAGAAGACGTCGTCTTCTCCATCATCGGAATAGTCTGATCTTGGCATGTTCATCAGCTACTTTCAAACCAAGCAGAACTGCCAAACAAGGCCGTAGATCGTAGGATGGACGTCCTTAATTACTCAGTCAGTAGGAACAAGTACATTTTGGTATCTTCAAGAATTCCCAACTGATGATCCGACGTAAGTGCCAACAAAGTATTAGACAAGGAAAAACATTAGAACATGATCGACGGGAAACTATTTTAACAGCTCGAGTGGATGTCTACCCGTTTATTGCATGTCATCTAAATGGTTATGAAAAAAATTAAAAAAATATGAATAAGATAGATCAATATCTAATGTATCAATCCACAAACATGCAAGTTAAAATTCAACTTCTACAGATTGTAACAAAAATAACAAATAAAACTCAAATTACTATATGTATATTTACAGTTAAATTTGTTAGTTTTGTTACAACTTGTAGAAGTTGAATTTTAATTTGCATGTTTGTGGAGTGATATATTACATATTGATCTATCTTGTTAATTTTTTTGAAAATTTTTCGTAATCATCTAATTGACATGCAATAAACGGGTGGACATCCACTCGAGCTATTAGAATCCATCCCCCATGATCGACTGAACTACTACAAATGAAATACATATACACGCACAGACTAGAGTAAGTAGTGAAGGAAAATAACGAAGAACGGAATAGGCGAATAGCCCATCAACACTTCGAACATGTATCGAATTATACATAGAGATCGTTATGTCTTGAACCAAATGGAGAACACTTTGATTAAAGAGAAGAGAAAATTCCAATCCAGATGAGACGAGAAAAGCTAGCACAGAGTGATGCCAGTTTCTGAAGCCCGGAGTTGCTGCTGCACTGCACTGCACAGATCGTGCCGTGCTGTACTGCTCATCTCCAGCCGTTGTCAGCCTCACGCTGGCAGTAGCAGGATTCATCAAGGGAAGCAAAACAAGAGTTTCACAATGTGCAGCCGCTGCTAACTGACAAAAAAAAAGATACAAGAGAAACAAAACACAAAAAGATTGCACTAGAATTCTTCCTTTTCATTGTGATGGTATACTACTGTATTTCACTAGAAGCGCAGATACGTACTGTGCCATCTCCAGCAATAAAGCGCGTGAATCCAATCATCCCATATCATGGATGGTTGACAGTGAGAGTTAGATGATCAGAGGACAAAAGAAAAAAAAAAGAAAAGAAAAAGAAAGGAACAAAAGCAACCCTGCCAACAAGACAACACCAATAAATAATCCCAACCACTAACCACTGCAAAGAAAAATCTTTTTTTTGAGAATGTGCAGAGACAAACTAAAAGCACTAAAGCAGCAATGTACTCGGATCCTTTTCTTGGACCTCATCAGTTTCCGATGATGGATTGATCGATCGATGGCATCCGATCCTTCTGCAAACATGCAACTTTTCTTTCTTTGCAGTTCTTGCCGGCAACCAGGGCGTCACGTCGGGAAACCGGGAATCCGACGACAGGAACACACACGCCCATGCCACGCGCGGGTCCCAAGAAATTACGACAGCTGCAGAGGCCAGCAGGTGATCATCCATGGTAGTACAAGAAGACGAGAGAGAGACGGCTGCACGGTGCAGAGCTCGTCGGCGGCTGACGCGTGTGCCGCCGCCGCCGCAAGATCTCATTATTCTCACCGCGACGGTTACCGTTGATGTGGCGTGCAGGTACAGCGGCCGTACTGGCAGTAAAAACAAAAAGACGCGATCTTTTTTTTTTATCTGTTGGTACGGCGCTGGAGGGAGGAAATTAAATTAACCTCCATTAATGCAAGCGACAGAGAATCAAGCATAGATAAGCTTGAGGAATTCACTTAGTTTTCTACCGCAAGATAGAGAGTCGCAGACAGCAAGCATAAGAAGCAGAAATTCTTATCAAAGAGACTGAATTGTTCAGAGAGTACTACTACTGTTCCATTCGAACGACCAAAAATGCAACGATCATCTCACAACTCTATCCATCGCTAAGCACATCAAGAAGCGAGAGGAGAACCAAAAAAAAAAAAAGAAAGAAAGAAAACAAAACAAATTCAGACAGAAATGATGCAGAAGAAGAACTAACACCACAGCTTATTAGCTCAAAGTCTCAAACCAACAGCAGATCGCTCACCTGAGGCATTCATGATCGTTCTCTTCCGGAGCCAAGAAACAGCAGCTAGAAGAAGAAGAAGAATTCTCAGGTCGGTTTCCCGGTGGTCGGGAGGGTTCTTGGCGTCGATCAGCGAACTGAACTGAACTCTGAACTCTGAAATGGTGTGGACTCTGAAGAAGAAGAAGGAGACCGACGAATCCGACGCTTAAATACGTCGTGTCCGGTGCCCCTCTCGCCCCCCACGCACGCCCGGTATTGCATATCCTGTGGGCCAATTCCGCCATGGTTTTGCCGCCGCTGACAGGTGGCACTCGCCTCCTCCCTCCACGTGGACGTGCACGCCCCGGTATCCCCCTTCCACCAGGTGGTCTTTTTCTGGACTTTCCCATGCATAAGCATGCAAACTGACCGTATGCTTTGCTGCTGTACATGTGATGTGATGGGGGATGTTGTTTGCAATTTTTTTTTTTGCACTGTTCGCCGCTGGCATGTGGGCCCGGCTTTTCGTATGGCTGGAGCCCTCCACACGCGATGCACAATAATCATCGGCAAAGCAAAGAATTTCGTAAACGATCCAAAAAGCTAGCTAGCTAGCCACTATATTTCTTGTTCCAGGAAGCAAACCAATCTATCAAAACGTACCTGTACGTAGTGATTCCGAGGAATAATGGTCGTTCTCGATCGTCGGTTCACCAAAAATTTGCCTTCAAAATGTGTATTGGAATTTCAAATCTAATTAAGCATCAGATTTGGAGATGTGGAACGGGAAAAACCGGTTGGAAAATTTTCAGAGCAAACACATTGAAATAGGTTGACACCGATATATGCAGAAACTAAAGAATAGACAATGAAATTATTCATCGAAATTTCTTACCGTACAATCACGTTGTAGTCGTAGCATTCAATTCTAAATTGATAGTCTGAGGATGATCACCATACTTCTAGTTTCATTGTTTTGCAATAATTTTGGTGCAAAAACAGTTCTCTGTGTACTAGCCATATAAAGTTGCCATTTCAAAAAAGCGCGGGAGCAAATTAATAGGTGTCTAGAAAGGGCTGAGCGAAGCATTGCGGATATATGCCACAAAATTTAAAAAAGCTAATTTGAGTAGGTCTAAGCTTAGCACGATGACGGATGCACAATTAAATAGAAGCTTCGATAGAAGCGAGCAAAGCATAACGGATACTAGAAAATTAAATAGGAGCATGGCTATAGTTGAGCGAAGGACAAGACTTGTACGACATCTTGATACTAAAGATTGGTGGGCCATAATTTACCAATACATCTGGACGGACAACAAATTAAGGCAACCTGGGCTATCGTTTTAAGAATTGTTTAATTGGGCCATAATATGATTACGGCATATAATATTTATTTTTATATATGTCCGTTTTGTTTTTTAATCTGAAACGGATAGATCTATAAAGTTTCACTCAACATCATGGTTAGTAACCTCGAAATATTTAAGGCTTAGTTTAGAAAGTCTGAAATTCCCACAACTTCAAAAAAGAACCGCCAACAAACCAAACAAAAAGTGGCAAAAATTAAGAAAGAAGCTAGGATCTATTTTGTTTCCAACACAAATATTTTTCTCCACCTCTTGTTCTTCTAACTTTTATTCCTATTTATCAATACAATTGTTAGATATCATTCCATATCTTATAAATAAAGGACAATAAAAGGAAACAGCCAAATATGATTTCACTCTACGTACCACCAAGAGTGCAAGACAATATTCTTACCATCTCCAATAGATATAACAATAAATTTTCATGTTATAACGGGAAACAAGCGAGTTAACCGCTAACATAATAATGTTTTTCGTTAAATAATTAGTATATATTCCCTCTATTCTTTTATATGTGACATTGGTTTGGTTCAAAATATTGTACTAACCAACACTATATAGAAAAATGGAGGGGGCACACACAATAGCATATATAATGTGAAGCTCAGATCATTTGATGGCCTAAAACATAGGACGATGGTCAGAGTTATATTTTTCATGTATACAGTACTCCCTCCGTCCCGTTATATTTGACGTTTCCGACCAGATCGTGAAAATTAAGGAACGTGTGAAATTACATATTTGCCCTGGGCCTTCTCCTCTCAACGCGTGAGTCGCCGCCGCGAGCCCGCGACGGAAGAAAGAGGCGGAAACGCCGCCACCCCCAACGCCGGAAACGCCGGCCGCTACGCCCAGCCGCCGGGGCTCACCTCCAAGATGCCGCCGCCACCCGTACTCGCTGGAACCGTCGCCGCCACCCCTCTTTGCCGGAGCCGCCGGCGCTCTCTCCCGACGCCGCTACTCATAATTGGGCACCCCAGGCCTGAGACCCAGCAGAATCTTTGGACAAAATTTTACAACACTTGTAGTAAGATCTCATGCCCTCCTTTTCACCTACAACGGCATCGATCGATCACCTGAGCCATTTGCCATTTGCCACTGATCTATGAACACTGTAAAACCTTATCATTTATCAGGTTCAGGCACGCTGCAACTGCTGCATCTGCCAAATTGTGCTTATCCTGTGCAAGAAATAGCTATAGATTGACTCGGCCGGGCAGGTGAGCAGTAGAACATTCAAATCTCCTTTTCTAAAGATGAATAAGGAAGAATGAATCAGTTGTGTTTACAATATTCAGATTTTACTTTAAAAGTTTGTGTTTTTACAGTATTTTCAGAGCTGCTCTTGGATTGCCAGTTTTTCGGCTGAAATTTCATAGCAGTTCTGATGATTTACTCCCTTCATTGCCCACTCAGAAAAACTCTCTTTTGCAGTAGTACACTAGTTTATCAAATTTCAACGTCCAATCTTCTGGGAAAAGAAGATTCAGACCATCATCTGCCAGAAGAAGTGCATTCATCATCTAATGCAACAGGACAGTAACTCCTGAGCTATGCAAACAAGTGAGTTATATAATGCTCAGACAGACAAAGATCATCTTATGTTGAATTTGGCTCAGTAATTTTCAGTGGGCAGATATGCTCGGACAGACAAAGAAAGGCTGACAGTGTCTTCAGACTTGTTCAGTTGCAGTTCAACTGGAAGAGTATGTATTGAGTGTACTCAGTTCTTGAGTTTCATTTTATTTACAAAATCTGAATTAATCCTTCAGTAGAAACCATGTTTGCCGCTGGGCTGCTTGAACCTTCCTGGCTTCATCTCCTAGTAGAGCAATATTTTGTGCGTCATTGCTGTGAGGTGATAATAGGACTAAAAAGTGACAATATGGTCAGATTTTGTGAGGTGATAATAGGCCTGAAAAGTGACAATATGGTCAGATTTTGTGCATGTTGAAATTCAGATTTTGTGATAATGTTGGAGAGGAAGAATCCAAGAGCAATTAGGATGTGACTTTCAGACCTACATTCAGATTTTGTAATAGTACTGTTCATTTTTAAATCTTGAATTTACTTCAGTTTTTTTGTCCCCTTAGCAGAATTTATGACAGTTCTTATGAATTCAGCATTTCACTGTGAATTCGCAGGACAGTAGTAGCACTCCTTGCTGAAACCTTAGGTTACAGCTTCATCAAAGCAGACAACTACCATTCTCAGGCAAACAAAGGTCTGAAGAACTCATCATCTCACAACCAACCTACATTTCCCTTTTTCATTTCTGAACTTCTCAGTTCCTCCCTGTCCCTGACAACAGCAAAGATGAGCAAGGGCATCCACTGTGTGCTGGATGAATCATGCCAAAAACCTTATTTATAAGCCACAGACAAGTGCAGCAGCTAAGCTAGCTCACCTTCCTCTTCACCACCAAGAACGCAAGAACGCAGCGAGAGAGGAGGAGATTCAAGAACCGGAGGAATTGATGTCGTCTTCGGCTGTGATTCCGCCGCCGTCGCCGGAGAGGAGGGTGCCGATGGTGGCCGACGACGGAGGTGGAGGACATGGGACGAGATGGTGGCGTCCGTCTCCATCCACTACTTCATCTGCCACATGTGCCGCCACGCCGCCGCCCGGGGCTCGTCGGCCTTCTCCGCCGCGTCGTCGGCGTCTTCCTCTGCTGCGCCGGTGCTTCCCGTCGTGGTGCGTCCCGCGTTGGTGGAGCACGCGGCGGACATGGAGCGGCTCATCTCGCAGCTGCCACTCTTCACGCTAGCGTCGTCGTTGGCGGCGCTCCCGAAGTCGTCCCGCGCCTGCTGCCGCCATCCCCTGCTTCTCCACGCCGTCTCCGGCGAGGAAGGTGACTGTCGCCGTCGAACAGAGGGGTAAAGATGGAAACGGTTTTTCTGATTGTACTGCAGCGTCAAACATTTAGACTCCTTTTAAAATGAACTACAACGTCAAACAAAACGGGACGGAGGGAGTAACGGATTTAAAGTGTATAAAAGAATTGGAATGGACGACATGTACGACACCAACAGTGACCTCCTCATATCTGCATGGACGGTTACTTGTTGACTCCAATAATAAAAGAAGCCCAGTCCAAATAATAATAATAATAATAATAATAATAATAATAATAATAATAATCTTTACCTATTATAAAAATTGAGGATGATTCCATACTCACCTTAGCTTTCGTCCGTCATCCGAGTTAAACACATATAAAACCCGGATCGGACTAAAAAAACCATATAGTAGCGATACGACTGTTGGACCGGAAAAAAACTGTCTACCGGCAAGAAAAAGACTGGGAAAACCATCTACCGGTGACGTGGACTATATACTATGCAAAAATCAGGGATACATGCATGTGTGTGTGGGATTCAAACTCCGGTCTCCTAGGGTACATACTACATGCTGCGCTCATCTAGCCACCAGAGCAATGTGGTTATTGTTTTCTTAAGAAACTTTTCTCTATTTGGCCGGTTTTTAACTCATCAATCTCCATCCTCAATCTTGTTCACAGGTCCATGTTACATCGCTTCTATGTCATCTCAGCTTCTCATGTGTTATTGCGAATTCTCACATGCTTATCAAGGGTCTAATTGGGGAAAATTTATACATCTTTTGGGAACGCAGTGGAAAAATTCCATGCCCGTATTAGGGTAGAATATGGCTCGAGCAGAGGGGGCTGCCGCAAGCGCTTTACTGGCATATCAAGGCAAAGCGTCGTCCGAGTCCGAGTCGTCTGACTCAATAAAGCGACGTGTCGTTCGTGCATGATAATGTAGCCATCCGATTCTGACTCGGTAATACGTCGTGCATGCATGAGAACGCAGCTGGTGCGCTTAGGACATGTTTTTTTCTCATCTGCATCGCTTCCCCATGCAGAAGCACCATATTCAATCAATATGTATCAATATAATTATGATTTGAGCCAGATATATATGATCTAACAATCTAACATTGAAACTTGAAAGTCATTATAATTGGAGTATGTAAATTATTTTTATCCGTTGCAACGCACTGGTATTTTTGCTATTTATTATAAAATTTAAAGATGCATGCATGTTTCATAAGCAAGAAAACTTCTGGCTGGCATGACATACGGAGCGTATACGTACGTGATGGCGACCAAAGTGATCGAGGTTTATTTTCCCAGAAAAAATAATAAAAAAGTGAGTCATATATTTTGTTTCATGTCTGCCACGGTGACAGCCTCTGGCCTAAGCTAGATCACTCCAAAACGCCATCTCCAGTGACGCACGCTGTATACTATAGCTACTAGCAAAGAGTTATGCCGTGTAAAGTCGTACATACATACGATGTACCGTTGATTGATCTGAGAATTTATTATGGTAATAGTTGACAGTTGTTATACAGTTTCAGGGTCGTGTTGGACGTACGGTTAATTCGCACGGTAAATTTGAAGTGCACAATGGATGGATGCACAGGATCTTGCAAATGCCAAATTCTTTTCCTTATTTGAGGCTACTTCGTCTCGATCTCTCTTTTCATTTTGTCAAACAAGATTATGTGTGCATGCAACAAAAGAACGACTAGCTTGGAATATTAACTTGTACAAACACATGTTTCGTTCCGGCAACAAATATAACTAATTAATTGCAATAGTTAATATAGAGTACCTCCAACCTTATCACAAACCTATATCAAGAGAAATATGTGTTCCATGCTCCATCTAATATGCAGCCTTATCTTTTTCTTATACTTATCAGCCAAAATTTAAATTTTTCAACCTTAAATTTGAAGCTGATTTTGAGTTTTTTTTTCATCGAAATTTATGTTTCAGCCTTTGCTTTTAGATCGCTAAGAACACATATATAAAAATTTTATTCACAAATTACTTTTCATTTGCAAATATGCCTTTCTCTTATTCCGCGAAATATACCTTAAACGATGGCTCTGATGCTAAGTGCACCATGCATGTCGGAATTATCAACCTAGGATCTTACATGAAGAACTAAAACGTCATAATAAATCCACCTTATAAGTTAGTTAAGATGCGAAAGCGTGCCAAAATCTGTAGCCATAATCATGAGTTGAATAACACCAAAACATTAGGCACACCTAATTTCTTAAACTATTGACGAGGCATAGTGGATTGGTGCGTGTGCCCCAATAAGTTGCTGGATTTCTATTCTAACACATCACATAATAGGAAACCAATATCCGGTCTCTACACATATATAAAAGTACGCTTCCATATAATTAATTAGATGCTTAGATCTCAATACAACTCTAGTTGATCGCTTTGTTTTTAGGTCAACTAGTCATAATAGCCATAATATGTTAATGCCCCCCATAGAAATTTATTCTAACAATAAATGCATTAAGCATCTACTTCAGTGAATGGACCAATTAATAGTAGCCAAACAACATGGATTGCAGAAGAAGTACAATTAAATAGTAGGGAATACATTCTGCACACAGTTTTGGAAAAAGAATTTTCTGAAGACACTCTTGATTCCATATATATATGTACACGTTTGTTTCCTTGAAAAACAGATCAATTGTTCTGGCTTCACTTTTCTAACCACAAGGGGTAGTAACATATTTAAATCAGATTTTGCTAATTGGCATTTGATAAAAAAAATTAGAGCAATATTGTAATTTATGGAGCATGGGATCTTCTCCATCCACTCATTAGCTTCCGGGGTTAGGGTTGGGGTTGGGGCCAAGGGGGAAAGATCCCAATGATAGTGGTGAATACGGGTTGGGGGGAGGGGGTGTCGTTAGCAAGCCAGCGGTGGTGCCGCCAAAGCAGCATAGTCGGTGGAGGATGGTGCAAGCAGTAGAGGCATCTTGGCCAACTGGTTAGATGGTAGTAAGAGAGCTGCTGGAGGTAGGAGAGATCGACGATGTTGGGGAACCTTACTAGAGAGCTGCTTCATGACCGTGGTTGTGGAGAAGGGTGGTTGATTACAGAGAAGAGGATACCGGCACCAGGGAGCGACAAAAGGTTTTGGTGGGTGGCGGTAGTGACGGTTTGGGGAGCCCGGCATCGCCGGCGTTGGCTATCGGTGTTGAGGAAGGAGGCGCATAGAAGGGGCTGGGCAGCGGGGATTGGGGTGATGTGACTGGAATGTGGGAAAACAAGAGGATTAGGTTTTCTCTCTTTATATATGTGTATCAGTGTTTGAGAGTTGATCTAGCCCGTTGAATAATCTTTATTTGAGGGATGATAAAATAGATTGAGATGGGAGAGGATTTTCTTGCTAAAGTTGTATAGGCCGTCCCCATTTAATTGTCACAGTTAAATTGTACATAATTGGCTATTTATGGAAAATGCTTGGTTGCCACATCGTCGCATGCAGTATATTTTCAGCACCATGGCCTACAAAATCGTTATTTTACCAAGATGTTTTTTATTATTTGCATAACAACCCCCCCCCCCCCCACACACACACAAAATGAAGATGCCAGTGCTTGAATGCTTATTGTGACACAAAATTTAAATAACAAAAATTCTTATATTTTAGAACGAAGTGAGTAATTGACAAAGAATAAACTTAATTAATTAGTTAGTTAAATATCCGTAATCTTTATGCCTTTAGCCCTTTTGTTAGTTTGTCTTCACATCACAGCAGAGAAGATGGGTGGCAGCAGCTAGCAGACACACTTCATCCCTTCCATTCCAGCCATTCCAAAAGCATATGCCCCCAAAATCTCAGCATCCCTACCACTCCAGGGAGAAAAACGAACAATCTAGGACCAATTTAACATGTACTAGTACAATTGTTCCTATCTACTACTACTCTACACACTGCAATTTCTTCTCCCCTATCTAAATGCAGCACTAGCTAGCAATCTGAAACCCTATCAAGCTTCCAAAAAGCCAATTCGGTCAGCCTAAAAACGAAAACGGCCGTCTTTGTGGTTGTGGCAAAGGCAAAAAGGAGTACAGAAGCTTTGTTTCTTCTTGGTCTACTAGTAATTCAGTTGGTCCCATGCATGGCATGCTACTACTTAGGTCCCTTCTAGAACAAAACAGAAAAACATAAAAGTTGTAGAGGATTTAAATCCTATATATGGGAAATAATTATGAAGCATTTTAAAACAAAGGATTGATTGTGTCAATGTTCTAGATATGAGATACCTTATACTTATGTATTATGGCTAGGCGGGCTCACCATATACAAAGTCCTATATAGAATATTGATGGTTGTTCATGTATTCATCTTTATTTCAGGGATCTGAGGCATCATTTTGGGGGATATGATATCTTAAGGACATGAGGGTTCAACGAATCGACTCAATTCGAGCTGGTTGAGAGTCGGCCTTTTTTAAGGCTCCTGGAACATAAAGGTGCTGATTCTAAATTTATCATTGGTGCCAGTACGCATTGTTGAATTAGTGTTGCATGAAAAACCGGCACCTATGACCCTTTACAAGCTGGCACCAAAGGCGTTCATTTCTCAGCCCTCGTTTCTCATTCTCTTCTATTTCAACATACAATCTATATTTATACCTAATTTAACACCATAATAATTCAAATGTAAGAATTTAACCATATCCGAATATACAATTACTCAAATATAAGAATTTAACCATATCCAAATATACAATTACATTGTACTTCTGCTTAGAATGTGTAGTTACAGTGTAACTACGATGTTACATCCTAGTTAC